AGGTTTTCTGTAGGTGAGATTGTAATTGTAGCCGCTCTTGTTGAGGGCATCTTGGTAAGTACCTTTAGCTTTTTCAAAGGATTCCTTGTCGAAAGAAATTTCTGAGAGGCGCTTGTTTATGGATTCCGGGATATTTTTTAGGATGGATGGCGGATGATTGGATTTCACATAGAGTGGGATGTTTCCTTCTTTTGTGTAGGGGTAATGCTTGCCAGATTGGAGGTCAAGGGTGACATCTAAAAAATTGACTTTAGTCATGTTGGCTTCGACTGTGACACCACACAAAGAAACCTATGGATTCAAGTCAAGAAACTCACCTCCAAAGATAAATGAACTTATTCCTTTTGAAGAAGGTAGGTTAAATCTAATTCATAACATTGAATTTGATAACAACGCCTCCAAATGCCGTTTCCAGAGAGCATTAAACACGGACATCGACACAAAAATCAAGAAACCAAACAATCTACTCGTTCCCGCTGACAAAACAACAAATTATTATTCTATGAGCACTGCAACCTATGAGAAGCTGATTACCGAGAATGTGACGAAAGCATACAAAAAGTCAAGTCCTAAAGCTGTAGATGAATTGAACTCCCAATCTGCAAGAGTAGCTGAAAAACTTGGATTGGACAACCGCATCGAAAAACTTGCAGAGAGGGAAGCGTTTATAACCTTGAAAGACCACAAACCTGAATTTCATGCACACCCAAATTGTCGCCTAATCAACCCCTCCAAATCTGAGATTGGTATAATCAGCAAGCGCATTCTAGATGAGATCAACACCACCATAATCCAAAAAACGCAGATCAACCAATGGAAAAACACATCCAGCGTCCTGAAATGGTTCAGAAACTTAGACCACAAAGAAAACCTCTCATTCATATGTTTTGATGTATGTGGCCTCTACCCCTCAATCACCGAAAAACTTCTCTCCAAAGCACTTGACTTTGTCACTACCTACAGACCCATCAGCGCAGATGAAAGGGAAATCATTTTTCTCTCCGAGCAATCCCTGCTATTTTCCAAAGATTGCCCCTGGGAGAAAAAATCTTCTACCAGCAGATTTGACGTAACAATGGGATCTTTCGATGGTGCTGAAACACGTGAGCTAGTGGGTTGCTATCTATTGTCCTGCCTAACCAAAACGTATGGCAACAGCATCGGCCTATACAGAGACGATGGTTTAGCAGCGTTCAACACAAAGCCCCAACAGATCGAAAAAATCAAGAAGGGTTTCTGCCAAATCTTCCGTGAAAACGACTTAAAAATCACAGTCGAAGCCAACATGACTAAAGTCAATTTTTTAGATGTCACCCTTGACCTCCAATCTGGCAAGCATTACCCCTACATAAAAGAAGGAAACATCCCACTCTATGTTCACAAGAAATCCAATCATCCGCCATCCATCCTAAAAAATATCCCGGAATCCATAAACAAGCGCCTCTCAGAAATTTCTTCCGACAAGGAATCCTTTGAAAAAGCTAAAGGTACTTACCAAGATGCCCTCGACAAGAGCGGCTACAATTGCAATCTCACCTACAGAAAACCTTCCCCAGACACCAAACACCGCAAGAATAGGCCCAGAAACATCACCTGGTTCAATCCTCCGTACAGCCAAAATGTCAAAACCAAAGTTGGAAAGTGCTTCCTCACCTTAATCGACAAACACTTTCCCAAGTCAAATCCTCTGCACAAAATTCTCAACCGGAACACTCTCAAACTTAGCTATAGCTGCATGAACAACGTAAAAGCCATTATCTCGAACCACTATAAAGCCGTCATTATCAGGTCATCAAACTTACCAGTTCAAACTATCAACACTTGCAACTGCCGCGACAAAAGGTCCTGCCTTATGGATGGGAATTGCAACGAGCAGAATGTCATATACCAAGCAGAAGTCACGACATCGCACTCGAAGCAAACTTACATTGGTCTTTGTGACACATCATTCAAATCGCGTTACAGAAATCACACTTGCTCCTTTAGAAATGAACGTTATAGAAATTCCACTGAGCTAAGCAAGTATGTATGGGGTTTGAAAGACAAGAAAACTGACTACCAAATTAGGTGGCGGAGTATTAGACATGCAAGATCCTATTCAAATGTAACGAAGAAGTGTAATTTATGTCTGTGGGAGAAGTACTATATAATTTGTAGACCGAATATGGCGACCCTGAACAACAGAAATGAACTCGTATCAAGTTGCAGACGTGCAAGGAGATTTCTTCTAAATAACGTGATCATTTAAGCGTGTAAGACGTATTTTATTTTTTCTTTTTCAGCGGTTTACTGAAAATTGTTTATCCATTGCTATGCAACCCAGCCTATTATGAATCGCTACCGTTTTTTTCAAAATCACAATGAAAAACATCGTTCGCGATTCAGATTGGACGTATCATTTTTTTCAAGTGTTAAAACCATCTTTCGCTCCCCTGATTGGCTAGAAGTAATTTGCGTACGAAAATTTACGACATGGCTTTTTCGTGAGTATTTCTCAGTATGTATATAATATAATGTATATATATATATATATATATAGACTTGTTAAGTCCAAATATATTTTGAGAGTTCCGTTTCATTACTTCTGTTCGAATTTTCTTTTTTCTCTTGTACTGCCGCCTCAAATAGCCCTCGCTAAATTGCGGGCACAAGCTTTGTAAGCTACACTTAACTTTAAATAAACTTGTTGTTGTTGTAGTTGTTGTTTGTTGTTGTTGTATTCATTCAGTAAATTACAATTAAAGCCTGTGAAATTATAGTAGTCAGTCATCTTCTTGAGACCGGAGTAAAAACTATTTTGGCCATTATGATGAAGGTCAACAGATATTTTTCAAGATTGTTTAAGGCCTGTTTGGATATTACTATGACAACAATAAACAAAAAACTTTGAAATTAATAAAAGCCGAATTTTGTGTGATCTAGACCAGCTACTGAAATCCATTACTAGGAACTTAACGTTTGGTATTTAGCAAAAAATCTCCGTAAGAAGTAAAAAATTCTGTATGTTTGAATTAGACTAAAACGAAAACATATTTGAAACCTTAAATTTTCAATAGCGGTGATAGATTATTTAATAACAACGTTAAAAACGACTCAAATTATTCTTAAATAGCGTCAGAATGCTGCTTAATATCATATTTCAATGCTAAGAAATTTTGGTGTATTTTCGTTCTTGCGATCTTGAAAACTAACCCGTTTTCTCACCACCTGTATAAGTGCAACTTCATTCAAAATTTGGACTTTTAGCGCTTTTTTGTATATCTCTGAAACGACTCGTACGAATTTTTTTTAAAATCTCTTCACATAATCTTCATGATAACTATAATAAGGTCTGAAACTTTCATTGAGATTGATTCATTGCAACATGCATCTTAAAATTTCAAGCAAACCTATCCTACGAACCTGTCAAAAATCTGCGTTACAACATTCACTGTTTTCACGTTATCTTATTTTTCCAAAATAATGCGCACTATACATGTATACCTCCATGACTGGTACATTTTATTTTGAATTTATCGCATCTTTTGAATGTAAAACATTGACAGTGCTCACACTAAAATGTACTAGTCATGGGGGTATATATAGTGCGCATTATTTGGAAAAAAAATTAGCACCAAAATTTAAGTTCCTAGTGTTGGATTTTCAGTAGCTGGTGTAGATCGCGCAAAATTAGACGTTTATCAATTTCAAAGTCTTTTGTTTATTGTTGTCATAGTAATATCGATTTTACTAAAACCTATAGTCAATCATTGGTGGAAATTTTATAGCGATCAGACAATGATAAAATTACTTTTAAATCGATTGAAAAATATTGGTATGGCCTCTAAAAAACAATATCGAAACACCTTAACTATAGAGTTTTCATCTCTTTCATGGAGATAATTTAGGTAATTAATTATGTTTTTATTTATATCAATGATCAAAGGGAATCTGCCAAGTTCAGCTCTGCATGCAACATTGAATGACTTGTTATGGACTTCTAAATATCGTTTACAAAAGTGTCAATGAGCTTTTTCGATCCCGGAGCTATCCCATGATTTAAAATCTGATTTCACAAAGGTACCCCAAACGTCACTATTGTAGGTTAAAATCGGTGAGATCATCGTGTCAAAAATTTTACTTGCAAGGGAAGGTTTCAGTTTACTAAAATCAGTGTAGCGTCTTAGACTAAAAAGAGCATGAAGGGCTTTTTGTCGAAGATGTTCAAGTGAAAGTGTAAAATTTCCGGAAGATGAGATGCGAGTCCCTAAGTAAGTATAGCCTTGTATAATGTCTAATATATTGATTTAGCCAGGGCTAAAAGCGAAGCTCCCATTAATAAATTTATAATTTAAATCAAACAATAAACTTGCAATGCACAAATCAGTTAACTTAAGGGCACATTCATGTGGCTTTGAGAGGAAGGCTAAGTGATTTAAGAGTGAAACATCTTACATCGAGTTGATGGCCTTATATGTACACCCAAGAAATAGCAATCATCTTTGATCACATTCAACAGCAATAATGGCCCTTGATCACAATAGATTAGGACTGGAAAACAAATTCTTGGAAAACAAATCAGGCCGAATTTTTTGCGTTCAACAAGTTTACTTTACAAAATCTTGCTAACAAATCTGGGGGTGTGTAAACCAACCTTTTGTACTTTTTATACATCACATAATAAAGAATTTATTATGTTTATTTTTGTTCCTTAATGGTTTTATAACGATGTGTAATCTTAAAAAGCGTTTGATGCGCGCGGCATTTTAAATACTCCTGCAAGCGATGTTCATGAACGACTGAACAAACGGGACAGCGATTAAAATTGCAAGAAAGACTACTAACAGAGACAACAATTTTCACTCACGAACACAAGTATTAAAGTGTGTCTAAAAATCCTGAGTCCTTAAGCTTGAAGCTTATGTATATGTTTTAAGCCGGCTTCGAGGTGTTTGCTTTATTCAAAGATGAACTCGAGGCAAGAAAATCGCTCAAAGTTTTATTTCTACAGCCAAATTTATAACTAAATATTCTTCGGAACGTTTCTTCCTATTTGTGGTGAGAAAATATTTCTAAAGGCTTTTTAAGTTCTGAAGGCTTTTATCAAACCTGATACTAGGTCAGATCATGGTCTCAAACAGGGCCGTCGCTAGCATGAGGCAAGACGAGGCAGTTGTCTCAAATCCCTAGAAAAAATTGGATCTGTTAAGATAAAACCAGCTAATATAAGGTGGATGAATTGAGGGGAAAAGCATTTTAAATGAGGATAATTCGTTTCATGTGAACTGTGAGTAGCGGTTTTTCAAATGCTTTATTAAAAATGCAGATGGTCATTAACTTGGCACCAGTATCGCTAAGCAATAAAAAAGTGCACTTCTACACTTGCCCAAGATTGACTTTTCTGAAGAAAAATGCCACGGAAAATGCTTACAAGAGCATTTTTGAGCCTCTAGGTTTTAAAATTTTTCGGGGCGGCATGCCCCCAGACCCTCCAAAGGCTCGCGCCTTCGGCGCTCGAAACTTGCCTCGTCTTGTTCTGAAGTGTGGCTAAGGCCCTGTCAAATCTTACAAACGTGCATAAACTTGCCGCATAAACTGTGATTGACTTCATGAAATTAGATATAAAAAAACAAAACATCAAATACAATAATTCCTCAGGCTTACCATTTGAGATGCAGCTCCTGAAAGTTACTGTGTTAAGGCCAGAATCGCTTAAGACTTTTAAACCCGCATCCAGCAAGGTGAAAAACGAAAACGATGCCAGCCGAAATCGGATTTCCGACTTTTACAAGCGACGCATTTCTCAACCAAAAACCCAGTAAACAAAGCAGCCATGAATAACAGAAGACTCTTGATAGCAGTTGTATTTCATTACATCCACTGGAAAAAGACAGTTAAAAACATCACAAGTTGACACAAAACTCTGCCAGCTTCACCTACCAAAGTAAACAAGTTTCAAGATGCTACATAAATTTTCCGCTTGAACTCACCTGTCAAATTTTGAACAATCGGAGCATAAAAATTGGACGTAGAGCGTGATCAACGCGTGATCATAGTAAGGAAAGGTCTTACCCGCCTGCAATTTTAATTAACTGGCTGAATTTTCGCGTTCAAGGTCAGTTTGAAATCAAAATCTTAATAATGCGGGGCCACAGTAACATAAACACAACATATTTCACACAAATTAAAAAAATACACTTGAGCCTGCGTTCATTTGAAAACTAGTAACTTTACAGCGGATAACTTCAAAAAATAATCGACCTCGATGGGTCGACACCTGAGCCCGCGATACTGTAAGGTGATACTGGTCAGCGGATACCCCGTTTTGAGAGCTGTCAATTGATCATAACATTAATGTGCAATAAGCCTTTTCCTGGGCTCCCAAACTAGCTGCAAAGTGTGACATTGGTTTCCCTGTGG